GGTGCTGAATTTGACCATTCAGAAGACACACCTCCTTTGGAGCTCAAGGTCCCCATCCATGATTCGAAGAGAGGACCCTCTGCCTCCCAGGTCCGGCGCTGCCCTTGAGCGGCTCAGGGTTCTCGTTCTGGACTTCTCAAGGCGAGACCAGTCTTTGCCAGCCTGATCCCATCAGTCTACTCCCTCCCCTGCTGTACCAGGGACTTCCTCCAGGAGGCGCTGCTCCAAGGTCGGTGATGGGAGGGGGCGCCCAGGCTCCAGATCCACAGATGGCAGAATCCTGCCCCCCTTCCCTTTTCCTTTCCTTCCGTCCCTCCTGGGGTGGGAATGACTTTCTGAGTCTTGGGGTCTGGGAGCTCAGAGAACAGAGCTGCTGGGGGCTGCAGTGGTCCAGGGAAGACTCCCTGAGAGTTTGGAGATTGCATTGAAGACAGGGCGAGACTCCCCAGCAGACTCGGGGTGGCAGACTTGAGGAAGGGCCTGCAGATGAGGTACCCTTGGAGACTGGAGGAAGAGGTGTTGTTCCTGCTGCCCTACAGAACCCCAAGTTCCCCCCAGCTCTCAGGAGCCTGAACTCTCAGAGGTTAGAGTTTCCTCCCCGAGCCACTACCCTCTCCAGAGCCTTCTGGCAAATCAGGATCTCAGGCCCCCCAGCCCCTAGGTAACCTAGCAGGCCTCAGCTTTGATGCGGCCACCTCAAGACCGAGGTGTCAATGGGCCCTCTATCTGACCAGTGGGCCGGCCAGGGGCCGCCGGCAGCCGTAGTGGGTGCGGTGAGGCCCAGACACACAGTCCCACTGTGTGGGCCTGGCTCGTGTCCGTCCAGACCCTGCGGGCCATGAGGGGCTCCTAGGGATCCCCTTCCAGGTACTTTGGACAGGCAGGGTGGTCTGGGGAGATGGGTGTGTGCAGGGCGGCCTCAGAAACCGCCGTCAAAGAGGCCTGGCCGACGTGGCGCCAGGCAAGCACCATCGTGGGCACAGAATGGCTGGTGGTCAGTCCATCCCTCCAGGTTTACAGGGGGAGGAGGGACTCTGAGGGCATGCGCTCGGGGTGACCAACTGTCTCCGGTGCTTGGGATCAAGGGTCTTCCTGAGACTTGGGGCTAAAATCCAGTGAATTCCCTGTCGTTGTCCACAAGCTGGACACAGTGGCTGACCTCACTGATCTGAGCAGCTTTCTTTCTGTCCAGCCAGTGACCTCTAGGCCAGATCTTCCTGGCCATCTTGGCTAGACCTGCCCAGGCCCACCGCGTCCACTCTCTGCTTCGACACAGGCTGAGCATGCCTTTTCCAGTTCTCGGTCTTTGGGGCAGAGCTGCAGGCCAACCCCGCCTCTGCTAAGCAGGTCTCCCCTGCCTGCCCTCGAGCTCCTGTGTCCCCCCCCTGCATGTGCCCGCCAGCCTTCCCAGGATGGGGCAGAGCCATCCGCACCCCAGCGTGCCTTCTTTTCTGTCACCTCCTTATCTTTAAGATTCAGTTCACAGCCCCAGCTCGCCTGTCCCCCCCCCCCTTTGCTCTATGAGGACCCTGAGGTAACGGAAGCTCAGTGACAGTGCTGGGGACCCACCCTGGAGACAGAGAAGCCCACAGGAGCCTGGGCCAGCACTTCTCTCTGATCCGCTCAGAACATGTCTTCCACCCAGTACCCCCATCTCCTCCCGGCCAGACTGTGAGCTCCAGATTTCCTCTGGTTCTTGTGGGGCTTCCACCCTCAGGGTCCCCGGGGGAGAGCCTTTGCCTGTGAGGGTACAGTTTGGGGGTGCTGCCATGGAGAGGAGACCACCGTGGGGTAGGTTCAAGATGAAAGTGCTGGCCTCTAATGGAGCTGTGGATACTCTTGGGAGTCCTCAGGGCCACTGACCGTGATTGCCAAATGGGGAAACTGAGGCCTAGAACAGAAGGAGCATGCTCCCAAATGAGTCACAGCCACAAGGTCTTGGCTTCCCTGTTTGTCAAACAGGAGGACTGAATATTCTTGTCCTCCCTGGGAGGCCAGGAGGCTCCTTGTCCTCTCCTTCCACCCCAGTGCCCAGTGCCCAGTGTCCTGTATGGCTCTGGGTCAAGGGTCTCCTCTCCTATCTCCTCCTTTCTCTGCTGTGGAGTGGGGTGCATATGGATGCTCTGGGCTCGTCCCAAGCCTCTGTCTTACACAGTGAACTAGGGGAGCCCCTGTCCAGTGAGGACTGGGTCCTGAGAGGCAGAGAGGGAGGGCGAGCACTGGCCGTCCCTGACCTCCCTCCCACAGGCCCCTGGGCTTGTAGGATTGGGCCACCTCCAGGAACATGGAACCCTTTTACATTGAGGTCTTTTTTCCAGCAAGAGAACGTTGATCCAGAGAGGCCCAGTGACTTGAACGGAGTCACACAGAATGTAGGCGACACAGCCAGGTGCCCAGACTGAAACTCACGAGAATTTGGGTCCACGGCTTGAGGTGGGTATCGGGAGTGCAAGATGGAACCGTTTTCTAGGGATGGCGGTGTGACCTGCTGGCTTGTCACACCTTGGTCAGGGCCTGGGTGGGGCAGCATTTAGGGGAGGAGGGAAGGAGGAAGAGGTGGCTATGGGGGACGCGGGGAGGCCTCCCCCTTTCTGATAAAAGCCCACGATGCAACAGCCCTGAGTAAGAGTGTGAGAACACAGTAGACCCGGAGCTCTTGGCCTGCAGAGCGTTTAGGGGGTCCATGAACTTGGACTGGAAATAATGACATTTTCCCTTTCACCCACCTTTAACCGAAATGCAGCCCTTTTTTCCACCATGATTATATCACCAGTGGAAATCATAAATATTCAGCCTCTGTTGGGTCGTCACAGATTATCCTGAAATACTGGTTCCTACCCCCACTGCGTCCTGGTGGTGGCCGGACCTTCCTGAAGTCTTACCGTCCAGTGACTTCCTAAGGGGCCGCCGTCACCACCGCACAAACTTGCCATTTTTGCTGGATAATTGTGTCACCATAGATTCAGTTTCCTTTATAGTCTTTTGGATTTTGTTTGATGCATTTAAAAATGTGATCTGAGAAAGCGCCTCCTGAGACTCCAGAGAGGTCAGTGGCTTCAGACAGGTTAACGGATCCTGTGTGGGCAGCGTGGGCTCAGAGCCCTGTAGCGGGGACCCAGAGATGGGCTCTTCGCAGACAGCATTGGCAGCTGGAGACTCTGGGGACAGGATGTGGGAGACAGAGCCACCCCCGGGCCTGTCCTAAGTAGGAATCACAGGACCCCAGGGCGCTGTGTCGCCAGGCGAGCAGCCCACCCTGCCCAGCAGTCTCCTCTGCCGGGCACACATGTGATGGGAACTGCCAGCGTCCCCCCCAGCTCCTTCACGCCACCGGCTGCCACCTCCTCGGCCCTGCTTCAGGAACCCATCCCGGCAGGCTGGTGCTTTAGCCCTGTCTCCCAAGGTTCCTTTGTTTCAAACCCCACATTTCTCCATCTCGCTCGCAGAGGAAGAAATACAGATTACAAAGGCCCAGCAAATGGTTTTTATAAACTCTTATTTTCTTGCCACAGAACTGCCTTTAATTAGCTTCGAGGACTACAAAGGGGACACGTTCTAACAGCAGCCGCGAGGAGGAAGGAGCCCCAGGTCTGATTGTCACCAGCCACAGCCAGGTTTGGCAGGAGTGTCTTGCTGCGGGGGACGCAGGCCCTTCTCCCCAGACTCTTCTGGTTCGAGCACATGGTCTGCCTCGGCCTCCCCAGGGAGGAGGGCAGCCCCACTCCCAGACTAGCCTCTTCTCACAAGCACCCAAATGTGGCTGGAGCACCCCTAGCCAGCCACCTGGGGACTGGCGGAGTCCGTGCTGGCCAGCAGCAAGGCAGGCAGACATGCCGAAGGACAGATGGACAGTCAGACAGACTTCTGCACCTCAGATGACCATCTTGACTCAACAAAGGCAGGACCACCCCCAGACCTTGGAGTTCTAGGTCCCATTCAGCACCCCATTCTAGAGAATCGATCCCTTGAACATCCCAGAGACACTGCCCCCATGCATAGCCCACCCCAGCCTCGGACAATAAACGCCACCACCGGAGGGGTCTCTGTTGAGGGCACAGAGAGGTTCAACAGCTTGCATAGCATCGCTCAGCGAGGTAGCCACCAAGCTGTGGGACTCACACTCGGGGACTCCAGACCCCTAATCTCAGGTGCCACCATACCATCTGGGCTTCTGTCGGCAAGGAGGAAGGCAGCAAATGTGGGGGGGGGGGTGAAGCCAGCGCAAATCCTAAGGGCCACACAGAGACCGGAACGAACATCTCAACCAGAGGTCCCAAGAGGGGCATCCTGGACCTTCATCTTTACCGAGGGACATGGCCCAGAACTCTGGGTCTCTCCAGGACATGAAGAGAGGCAAAAGAGGTCCAAAAACACTTTCTTTTTCCCCGTGAGCAGACCAGTCCACGCACTTTCTGGAGCCTGCTGCCTGTGTGGACTCAGCTGCAGGGAAGCTGCCATTCTCCCAAAAGCTCGTGGCCCCGTCCCCGTGTGCTTCCTCCCCTGGCCCCGGATTACATGGAAACCATGGGGCACAGCCCTCAAGGGGATCTAAGGCACAGCCCCAGGTCCCTCTGCCTCCTACGGCTTCCCTGAAGCTGGCCAGCCCATGCCGCCAGCCCCAGCCCTGGCCACAGATCCACATTCTGGCTGACCAGGAGCACGGCTGCAGGGCATCGAAGGAGCCCCGTCATGATGCAGGAAGCTGTATCTCCCTGTCCTTGCCATCCCGAGACCCTTCTCTGGGGTCTCTGAGGTCCTATGGTATCCATTGCGCCTGTTACACACTGTTCCCGCCAGCTGAGGCTGAAGTCCCACATCAGGAGACCACGGAGGCCACCAACCCATCTTCCCCCCGCAGGCTGTCCGCGGCCATCGGGTTTAGGTAACCAGACTGAGCGCTTGAGGCCAGTCAGGGCGGGCAGTGGAGCGACGTGGTCGGGGCCGGCCACAGCTCGCCACCCGGAAAGCCCGGCCCAGGGCCCCAGGCAGTCATCACTCACCCCGGATGAAGGTCGGCGAGTAGGTCGGGAAGGAGTCGAAGATGCTGTTGGATGCCATGGCCCGCGCTGGGGACGGCCGGCAGTCAGCCCTGCGGGGGGTGGGTCGGGATTGACTTGGTTGGCTGTTGGTCTTTTAAATTTTTTTTCTAGCTACTTTTGAAATTAGAAGTGTGTGTGTGTGTGTGTGTGTGTGTGTGTGTGTGTGTGTGTGTGTAGGGGGTGTTGGTTTTTGTTTGGTTGGGTTTTTTTTTTTTTTTGTCTCTTTTTTTTCTCCCTGCTGCTACCAAAGAGCAAAAAGGAAAGAACGCGAGAGTATGTGTGAGCTAGCGGGTAAAAAAATCCCCAAGGAAAGTAAGTTTCTGTTTGTACCCAAGAATTTAGATTCCCGGTCCCACAGGAATGTCTAGCCACAAAGTTTCAACAGCAGCCTATGCAGAGTGTATCATTAGATGGCAGAAGGGCTCTCGGCAGCCGGGTGGAAGAGCTGGCGGCCCCAGCGGAGCAGGGAGGCCCGCACCGCACCACGTCGGTCGCGGGAATGAATGAATGACAGACACCCTAACCGAGCCCAGGCTGCCGTGGGTGCGAGGGTGGCCAGGGGTGGGGACCAGCGGGAGCCAACCAGCTCCTGAGCAGGGCCCTGGAGGCGGCTGAGGGCCTGGCCTTGTGGTTCTGTGGTCGAGGGACCAGGCCTTCCCAGTGTCAACCCAACCTCAGCTCACAGGATGCAAGAAGCCAGCTCGCGGCCTGGACCCATTGGCTGGGCCGCGGTCACCTGGGCTGTGATGTCACGGCCTCTTAGAAGATTTTGTGGCTGCCTCTCTTTTTTGGAAAAAAAAAAAAACCAAGAAAGAAAGAGAAGGGGAGGAAAAAGGTGATAGTTTTAATTTGTGGGGCTGGCTCCACATTCAGCCCAAGAAACAGAACTGAAAGTAGTTGGAGCGGGCGGCAGGGCGGTGGCTTGGATGCTACAGGGGGACACTCCTTGCTGATGAAGGGCACTGTTGCCCAGGGTGGACCGGGAACCCTGCAGGCCGCTCACCAGGCGTGGGGAGCCGGGGTCTGCCAGCAGGCGGGGGCTTGACGCCTTGGCCGCCCAGCCCCGGGCTTCTTTTACACACTGTCATCGGCCCCAGTGCTGCTACGGGGAGCGGCGTCCTCCTGCGTGGCTGGGTGGACTTCAGGAGGCTTATGGGAGCTGCGATTACATGCAAATGGGAAGCACGTGAAGCAGTCACGGCCTGCAAGCTGGAGGCCCCTACAGAGCCCCGGGCCCATCACCGGGCCCTTGCTGCCCACCCGTGCCTCCCCTTCAGCCTCTGCTCCAGCTCCTTGCTCAGAGCTTTCTGCCTTTAGACCTACACTGGTGCAGTCCATCCACTTGCTGGATCATTCATCAGCGCCTTTTTTGAATCTTTCACAGTCCAGGAATTCAAGGCTCAGAGGAACCCCAAAAGCACTAATGATACAAGAGATAACTCAGGGCTCCACTTCTGTGTTACCAGGAGCCAGGTCAGGCTTGGGGTGGGGCAGGGGAGGGTAGTTCTGAGCATTTCTCCTTGTGGGCTCCATGCTCCCATTTCACAGGACAGACCACAGAGGCCCAGGGTGATAGAGCCAGATTGCCTAAGGTCACGTAGGACTCTGGAATCGAATTAGACCTTCAGCCTTTCCCTACTTGCTGGGTCATCATAGTGCCCTTAAAAGTAAGTCCTGGGACCTCAGAAAGTCCCTTTGCAGTTCCAGGGAGGCCAGAGTAAGGTCCAGCCCCCAGAACCAGTCACAGACTCACAGGAGCCCCTGAGGCTCACACAGAGCGAGTGGCACAGTAGGAAGAGGGACTCATCCAAGGCCACAGAGACTGATTTCACGATTCTGTCCCTGAACACTAAGCTCCCTAGAGCAAGTAATAGGTGAATCCAAGCCGTGAGACCTCGGGGCAAGTCCCTTCTGGACCTCAGTTTTCTTTCCCGTAAAGTGAGGATGACACGTTCGTCAGGGGACAGGCACCGGGTGGGGACGTGGCACTCAGTTTCCTTGGCTGAGCCTGTGACGCAGTCTGGGCCCCGTTATGAGTAAGCTCAGGTGGGGAGCTGGCAATCAGGCAGGGGGGCCAGGCTGCTCTGCCCTGCCCTGCCCACCCCGGGAGCCTGACTGCCGGCCTGGCCCAGACAGTGGCCCTGGCCAGTGGTACAGGTGTAGGGGCCGTGGCCTCGTGCTTAGTCAGAGGCATTCTGGACTCCCCTTGGTTGCAAAATAGGCGGGCCAGAGAATGATGCAATGGGGAAGACCCTCCTTTTCTAGAAATGAAATGCAGGCTACCAGGGGACCGAGGCTCATCCAAGATCCCCCTGCCCCCACCCGTGAGTCAGTGGGACTTGGCATCCTGCTCCTAACCCAGGGGCTGTTTCCATTCTGCCAACACCACCCCCAGTTTCACACGCAGTGCCCTATGTGCTTCAGTAGGTTTTTCCATACCTTTGTGGGCACCCCCAAGTCCCTATTACTTGGCTACCCAAGGGGCTTTCCCTCCTTGGAAGCTGAGTGTAGGCCCAGGAACAGGAGAGAGCCCAGGCAGCCATACTGGGTACCGTGGTGTCTCTATGCCCCGTGGAGTCCAGTGCCTTCTCAGGGAAGAGCTGCAAATGCTTGCTGAGTGCCAAGCTTGCTCATTGTCCTGCAGGGTCTTACAGTCTCTACCTGTTCCCTCATGAACATGTGCTAACTTTGCACAAACCCCAAGAACCTTGTTGAGGAAGCAGAAAGGATGTGGAGGCTGGAACCAGCCATACCTGAAGCCTGACTTTGGTTCTAAGGAGCTATGAGATTATGGGCAAGAGGATGACTCTTCTGCACCTCATTTTTTGACTGTGAAATGAGTCTAATTATAATACTTACCTCCCAAAGCTGTAAACAGAGAAAAGAATTGTGAGTGTGCTTGGCTCATTTTAGATGCTCGGTTCCTGGGGTTCTCTTTCCTTTAACTTCTGACTGCATTTTCTTATGTGCATAGGCAGTCAATGGTCTAATTATTCTTCGTTGGAAACAATTAGATCAGTTTAATGAAAAACAGTGGTTAAAGAAGCGAATCATAAAATCTAAAAATAAAAGGGACATAAACTCTTTATGTTAACTTTAAACCTACAAATGTATACAAAATCACCTTCCTCTTCTTCGTCTAGAAGAAGCCAGCCCAAGAGGCCTCTCATACAGTGTCTGCTGTGAGTTCCTCTAAAGGGGAACATGCATGTAAAAGGGCCTCCAAAGGGACCCACTGGTACTGCCTGTTGGTCACACTGTTCCCTCCCAAGTTTTCACCGTGTCTCACCCATCTCTGGTTCAACAACCATTTTTTTGGCAACTTACCTTCACCAAGTCATTCCGCAGTATTCACCTCTTTTTCATAAAAACAGACATTTCTGTTCGGCCTTACACTATTGACATGGCATCACCATTAGCTGGAGTCCGACCCAGGGAAACAGGAGCCTGGGAGGCGAGTTCAAGGTCACCAGCAGCACAGCGGCCAGAATAACTGAGAAGCCAAACAGAGCCCCCAGATCAGCCACGACAGGAAGCCACTGTCACCCTCGGGGGAGAAGACAAAGCAGAGGTGGTTTAAGGGGGCCCCTCCAGAGGAAGCAGGTCTATGGGGGACGGGTCTAGCGTTTGCAGGGGAGACTCAGCCAGTCTGGAGATGCCACTTGAGATAAAGACCAGGCCAGGTCCTCTGTTTCTCATTGTCCTGTTTCTTCTCGGCGTCTCCCATTGGTCACACATAGCTGGACCCAGCTTACTGGGAGGTGTGGGTGATGCACCCTTCGGACCCCTGCCCCCCAGGACCAAACCCAGGAAAGCACGGAATGAAGGCCTGGATTGGCGTCATAGCCAACGAAGGTCTGCAGCCAGGAAAACGCAGGTGGCCACCTGTGTGCGAGCTGGCATTTTGATCTGGCCTCTGTTTCTGTGACCGGGGAGTCACAAGCACTGAACTTCACAGTTTACAGAGGCAGGGCAGCCTGCATCCCGGATGCCGCCTCCTCCCTTTTCAGACAGGAAAAGGCCAATCCCGGGGATTTGTCCTGAGTTTCAGCCTCCAGGGGTTAGCACAGCCAGCTTGGACCATACAGGTGGCAGATTTGAGGCGAGCACTGGTCTAGGAGTCCAAATTCAAGCTTTCCACCAGCAAATCATAGTGCAGGGAGAAGGGAGGTCTTAGGGAGCCGTATCTGAAGTCTGCTGCTTCCTGTCTATGGGTGGGGGCTTGATTTGGGGGTGCCAGGATGGAGACACAAGACACCCCATTCCACACCAGGGTGGAGGGCAGCTCTGTGGGGCCAGGCAGCCCACATAGGAGCTGGGATACACAGGCCATGCAGAGGGACCGTGAGCCAAGGACCTCCTGCGTGTGGCACAGCCACCGTGAGCTTTCCACCAGCACCTCCAGTCACTCTGGGGCTCTCGGGTCACTGCGCTTGCACCTCAAGCCATGTGACCTTCCCTGCACTTTCCAAGCTCCAGGGAGAAGAAGGGTCTTCCCCAGGTCACCCAGTTTGAAGGCAGGGGCACGGGATTTGAATCAGCCTGTCCTCCACTTCCTTTCTGACTGTCTCCTCTGCCCACCCTCCCCTGCTGCTTATTCTGAAAAAGCACGAAAAGCCTCCCTGTCTACCCTCTTAGCCCTGTGTGGGGCTCCCTTTGCCAGGTCCTGCACTGTTGTCTCAGCATGGCTGCTCCGTCACTGTGTATACTATAGGACTAGTGGCACCGAGGACATCTTTACTAGGTACCCCAACAGCCTCACTCGCTGCCCCTCCTCCATCCTGCAGTCCCGCCTCGGCACACGCCTCGGCACACGTCTTGGCCAGAAGTCCTCAGTTAAAGGCAGATGGGACAGCAGCCCGCTGGGGACAGCACAGGGGGACCCATCGCACTCCCCTGGGCTGGGCGTGGCACCCTCTCTGACAGTTTTCTCCCTGCTCCTCTACCTGGTGCCCCAAAGAAGGAGGGAGCAGCAGGCACACTGAACAGGAGTTCAACTACAGTCTGCCACTGCCCCCCTCACTGTGTTCCCCAGCTACTCCTTGGCTCCCCTTTCCTCTCGTAAGTCCCTGCCTGGCAGATGGGAGTACTGGACCTCAGCACTGCATATGTCAGGGGCTGTGGAGAGGGGCTGTAAGCACCCCACTGCCTCACCTGCAAAGTGGGGACACTCAGACTCAGTCCCCCGTCTTCTCTCAGGCTGATAAGGAAAGGAAGGGACTCCTCAGAAGGGGACATGGTAGATACAGGCCAGACCAAGCTCCCAATCTGAGAGTGTTGCACGGCCATGGGCACTGGTGTATAAAGGGTGTGTGTGTGTGTGTGTGTGTGTGTGTGTGTGTGTGTGTGTAGGGAAAGGACAGGCCGGAGGCTGAGGGCCAATTCCTATCTCCCCCTCCTGGGCCCCCTAAGTCCTGCTGTGAGACCCACGGCTTCTGGACCCAGGGCTTCTAGAGGTGACCAAGGACCGGGGTGTCCTTCCCCAGAAACCGGCCAGTCCCAGGGCCAC